GAAGTACCCAGGTTTACATGTGGGGTTTGGAAAGAGCAGTTTTTCTAAGATTTTGATGAGAAGAGAACAGGAAAAATAAATACCTCAGTGGGAAACAACTTACTAAATTTCTAACTCCTAAAGCAGATTTATAGTGTGTTTTTTAGGCACATGGAAGTTGTTTTTCAAGTAATAAATTGATGCTTATTCTTGTTGAATAACACATGGAGAAATTTACCAAAACTTTGTATTTTCAGTGATTTTCAGAGGCTGCAGATGAATCAGTTTTTAAAGTTTAAAAGTGAAATCACATTTTCTTTACAAACTATGTATCAGAGCAAGAAACAGACCAAAACAAAAACAAAGAAAAAAACCAGAAATCATTGTTTTGTGCATTTTTTCCCACCCCTGTCAGACTGTAAAAATCAAATATAAGAAAATGTTGATTCGTTCTTTGGAACCCTCTGTGTGGAGTCTGTGTTTGTTTCTGGTGGTCTGGCTTTTTCAGATGAGACTTCGGATCGATCCCAAGATGCTAAAAAATGCTGTGTCATTGCTTTTCCTCTGACCTCAGCACCCTGAATGGCTGTTCACTTCTTGCCCACTTTATAATCTTCCTAGCAAGTTGAGTGCATTTAGGTGATTTCATTAGCTTGTAAATGTTTCATTGCGTGACTTATTATTCTACTTATTCTTTACCCCATATTGATTCTTTCTGATGCTAATATTTTAGGTTCACATTTTTCCATGAGCACTTGAGAGCCACCCAACTTACATGATAGATTTTAGTCTCTTCCTAGAATTCAGTGTGTCTGAACTGCAATTGTTCAAATCAGTGAAACTTAAAACTGAAAGGTTGTTTCACTGTTTTTAAAAAGCGATTGACTAAGCAAAATATGAGAAGCAAAAAGATAAATACTGCATGATTTCATTCATGTAGGAAATGTAAATGCAATGAAACAAATGAAAAGAAATAGGAAAAAAAAAACTTAACCAGAGAAGAAGCCTTTGAAATGTGACTGCAGAATTGAGGCTGCCAGAGAGAAGGAAAGTGACAGTGGGGAGCAAAAGGAGGAAGGAACCCAGTGGGTAACTGGGTGGTGTCAGTGTGGTGACATATATCTGAAAAGTTGTGAACTTGTACCTTTAAATCCTGAGTGCTGTCAATCAAATTACCTCAGTTAAATATAGATATAGATATATATGTACATATGTATATAAACAAAGTCACTGGAATGGCTTTAAGATAAATCCTACAATAAGGAGCCATAATGCTTAAAAGTATGCACAGCCCTCTGAGGACTATTGACATGTGTTTTTAAGAAGTAAATTGTTTTAAGATTTATTTATCTATGCCCACAATAACTGGGGTACAGACCAGAGGTGTGGGCAGTAAGAGGATTCACTAGAGACAGAGTGAGGAGCAGAACAGGCAATTCCACTGAAATACACTGCTGAGGGAACAGTGGGATGTGAGGAGAGGTCTGTTGCACCATGTGGGTCACCTCCCTGGCTGGGCATCAGCACGAACCTGTGCTGCAGTGGCTGCAGATGGCTTCATAGTGCTGCACTTTAATCCCTTACACCTCCAGGGAGGGCCCTAAGAAATAAATCTTGCTGATGATTACAGCACTTATGTATAACCCAGGTGCAGTGTTTCATTCATTCTACACTCAGATTTATGGTCTCATTGACTGTGTTGCTTCTTCTCTGACCTTGTTTCCTTTTTGTATCTTGTGGTTTCTCTCTGTGTGTAACTTATTTATGTGCCATGAGCAGTTGAAGATCTGGTATTAGGAGCAATTGTTAAGGAATTAAATCATGTCACCCCACATTATGAATTGACCAGGAACTGAACTCCAAAGAATGAATCAGCATGTTCATATGTTTTTGCAGCCTGACACTGCTTTTGCTTCTGTTTGTAGTTCTTCTTATTTGTCTAAATAGCTAACCCATTTGAACTTAGTTATTTTGGCCTTCAGGGTATTTAGCATCGTTGTTAATAACTGATTTTACATTCAGCTTTGTGGATCTTTGCTGCTAGTAGTAGTTTTTGTGTTGGCTTTTTTGTTTGTTTTTAGTCATTAGACCACCAATATTGTACATAGTATACAATGGGTAAGAGTCAATTGCATATGGAAGAGACCCATAGAGTAAGTCTAGGACCCCTGCCCCTCCAGGGGTAGTTGGTAGGGGTAGTTGTTGTTGTTTTCTAAGACTTATTTATTGATGCCTACAGAACTGGGGTACAGGCCAGAAGTATGGGAGAGAACAGGCAGAACTACTGAAATACAGACCAAAAAACAACAAAAGCAAACCTTTAGATTCTGTAGACAGAACTGGTCAGTGTGAAGAAGGTGGGAATAAAGGGTGGTGAGTATGTATATAAAACCTATACAGTGTTTAAACCATATTACCTCAAATGAAATAAATAAATAGCTATTATACATTTCAAGTTAAATTTTGTAAAAAATAACTACAGAGCATCTTAGCAGTTTGTTAAATGAGATTGAAGAGATGTGATTTATAGCAGTAGAGTTCTTGCTGTATCCATTATTGTTTCATTTATTGAAATCCAGAATTTTTTTTTGTTCTACTTTCTTTTCTTACAGCCATAAATGTAAGCTTAGTTTTTTACTGCATAATTTTTACATTTGGATAATTTGTGTAGTAATCAGTAATCTGTTCAATTTCAAGTTTCTAATACCAATAGTTCTTTGCTTAAAAAGGAAAAAGAATGATGTATTATATAAAGTGTAAAGATAGTTAAGTCCAATTATATTCATTATGCTAGGTGGGTGGTCTTCTCATTTTTTAGCAAAACATTGCTCTAGTACTTCGAAATAGAATATTAGGCATAGTCATTAGATAGCAAATTAGATCACATATGCATAACTATCTTTCAACTTTTTTGGTGAGAAAAAAAAAGAGCATAATTCATTTTCTTGGTTCTTTACCAACTAAAGAATTACATTCTCCTCTCCTGCAGGTAATGCCTAGGTCCTGGGCAATGCATTTCTTTGCACATTTTCTTGTAATACTGCATAAAATTTATGGCATTAGTGAATTTAGTAATTTAGATAACAAATATTGATAGGGTTTTTTTCCCCCTCAACACGAAAATTGAGGAGAAAATCAAAATGTGCTATATCTATGCAAGAATTCTCTCATTTTTTCAAGTATTTTATTTGAATGTTATCAGAAGTGCAATTTTAATTGCAGAGTTATAAGTTTTGTGGAAGCAAATAGGTAATTTTTACTTGCTTGATTTTCATCAAGAGTGAAAGAGATGGTGGTTCTGGGGATGGTTGTGGTATCATGGTGGTGGGGCAAGAGAGAGGTGGTAGGCTGTCTCATTTGACTTTGCTCTTCCATGATGTGACTGTATTTAGCTAAAGAATGTATGATATGGAATTGGACTTTTACTTTCCAATGGTGTGTCTATTTTTCCCCACACAAGAGTTCATACGAAGACCCAAATACTGATGAGCTAAAAAAACATTTTTCTATGTAACAGAAGCTGGTGACAAAAGGCCACACAGTGTGTGGCTTCATATATAAGGAATTCCTAGAACAGACAAATCATAGAAACAGAGTAGAAGAGTAGATTGCTGGGGTCCAGTGGGGCTCATTGCGGGGTATGTTCTGGTGGGTTTAGTGTTTCTTTTTGACGTGATGAGAATGTTCTGGAATTAGATAGTCGTGATGGTTGCACAACTCTGAATACACTAAAAAACCACTGTACTGCCCACTGCTCTGGCTGAGACTGGGCAAGGGCTTCCCTTTCTCTCCACTGGCCCAGTCCCCCCCAGTAAAGATGCCCCCAGTTGAAGACCTTGATATGGTTAGCAAACCACTGTCTTTCAAAATAAAAGCTTTTGTATTGCCAGATGGAGCTGAATCAAATAAAAACTTGAGCCACTACTTCACTTTCTCTCTGCATGGCAACAATATGTTATGAGTGGAGAGAAATAACATTACATCAGAAATGCCTATTGCACATTTCTGTCATGAAAGACTTCTTCCCATTTTTTCTCTTTATCAAAAAGTCAGAATAAACTTGTTACGGTGTTTGGGACCTGCAGTTTTGGTACCTGTTGCAAAAAGGCCTTTTCTGTAGGTGATGTTCCTCTTTGGCTTTGCCAGGAATTTGATCTCCACCATGGAGGTGACTCACATGACGCAGCAGACCTCTCCTGACCCGCCCCTACTCCCCTCAGCAGTGTACTTCATCCATCTGCCTGTTCTGCTCCCCACTCTGCCTCTGGTGAATCCTCTCACCGCCCCTGCACCCCTGGCCTGTACACCAGTTCTTTATGCATAAATAAATAAATAAGTCTTTAAAAAAGAAAAGAAAACTGGAGCTTAGACACAGTTTGTGAGATGTGCCTTGGGGCTAGGGGCTACAGCAGTCTCAGTCTACCTTTGCCCGAAGTGACTGTTAAAACTAATTACTTGTAAATATTTTAGGGAACAAGTGTCGGTTTGGGTAAGGAAAGCAATTGACAGTGTTCCTTACAAAATAGAGTATATCGTGGTCCAGCTCATTCTCATTTATTTCTTTGTCTTTTTCCAGACTACAATACATGACACCTTGTGAAAAGCCAGGACAGACTGCCTAGCTAACCCTCATGTGTTCACCTCAGTGAAAACTACATAAAATCCAGCATAATTCATTATCACTCAGTATTTGACAGCCAACTATAAGTATTCTAATGATAGGAGTCAAGCAATCACCTGGCTAAAACTCATTTTACTTTTAGACCCAAGTTTTGAAATATTGACACAAGGAGTTGGTTTTGGTTTACTTTCAAAAGAAAATTTAAACATTAAAAAGTAATTGCTGAGTATATTTTATTTTAAGTCCCGAGTGTTACATGTGTTTTCATAATGTTTCAGGTTATGACAAATACGTGAAGCTCCCGAAATGGTCAGCATTAATGTACATCTCTCTCATTTTACTAGAGACACTTAAGACTTTTTACTTTAATGAGAAAAATGTAATTTTTTCCACCTTGTAGACAACATCTGGGGAAGATGTGAGAGACTTCACAAAGGTGCTGAAGAATAAGTTCAGGTCAAAGAAATACTTTGCCAAGCACCCCCGCCTTGGCTACCTGCCTGTGCAGACAGTTCTAGAAGGCGACAACTTGGAGACGTAAGTTTAATTTTAGTACAGAAGCTTTCTTCATATTGACATTGCCTTTGCTTTTGTGACACAGGATCAAATTGTGTTTTGGTAAAATGTTTCATTTTAAAGGTAGATTAAGCCATCTCCACAGAACAAATTTCTACTACTTCATCCTATGTGTCCTAAACTTTCAAAATATGTTGGAGTGTGTCAGCCTTTGCACTAGTCAGCTCATTTCCTCTTAAAGCACCAAGTCAGATAGATGCCTCCCAGTCGTTTGTTCTACACTATGCTATAGAACAAAGTTTACTGAAACAATTTCCGTTTGAAGCGAGGTATTCAACTGTTCAAAATCCATCATTTTGGTTCTCTTTCTTTTGTGAGGTTACTTTTTCCCTTCAAAAAGTTGTCTGACACATTTGTTTTGTTTGTTTTAGTTACCTAATACATCATTTAACTATATTTTAGCCCCATGATGAAGACAGAATTTTACTTTTCTTGGTTTTAGATCTAACTAACCTTTAAAGAAGCTGCCTGAAGCATACAATGATCAGGCTGTGGTTTTACTTGCAGGCTACTTCACTGGGTTTGCACTGCTGATGGACATTCTTTTTGGATAAAGCATTGGCCTTTTGTGTCTCAAATACCTACATCCTCCATATAGATAGATCACTTATTGCCCCCTTCAGCATTATTGATAATTTGCCTTTCATTGTCAAAATAATCATTAGCATCAGTCATGCTATTCTGAGCAATTCAATTCAAGTAAAAAGGAACAGAAGAGCATGTCAAATAATTTTGCGTTGTGTATTTGATTGTAATGCTGAAACTGCCTTACTTTATCTTGTGTAAAATAACCAGAATTTTCAGTTAAGAGAAAAGCAAGAGCGAGACTAGGAGGAGTGTAAGATAAATCAGCTGCCTTAAAACCCTTTTTGAGAAAGATCTATGAGGTACCAGATGCAGAGGGCAGGGTTTTTTCTTTTTTAAATCCTTGAATGTGTTCTTGAACTCAGTGTACTTTGTTTTCTGCTGAACACTTCCTAGTGCAGGGCTACTTAATCTTATGGAATATCCACTTATATGAGTGGGCAGTAAAAATTGTGATTTTGTTTTTTTCTAATGTTTGTGGGAGAACACTGTAGAAAAAGAACAGTGTTGAAATGTGTTGGCCTTATTTATGAAGCCGATTAGAATTTTCTTTTGCCTCTTTCTCTTTCATCTATACAAAATGTAATGTCTTATCCCCTATCGAGTAATTTATACATGCATGCATAGAAGAGATTTATGGGAAAAATAAGTTAACTACTACCAATGGGTGGTAAACAAACCCATGCTAAGTTTTGTCCAATTAATTTTGTAACTGCAAGATTAAAAAAAAACAATCAAAATAAATGAATAGAGCTTGATTAAAAATGACCATTGAAAGTAAATCTGACAAACAAGCTAATGTAATGTAATGGCAAAAGTATTTTGAGAATCGTAAGGGATTATTATTAGCTAAAAAAAAAAAAAGGCTGATTTCCCTCAAGATTAGAATAATATAGTCACCTTTCCCTTGTATGAATTATGGTGAAATAGATGGATTTCATGATTTTTAAAGTTCTGACTTTAAAAAGTAAAGTTCTTACTTAAGCACGATCCAATTCTAAGTAAGTGTAATTGTGGTTATGGGAGCACTGGGATGGGGGGAGGTGACAGTGATGCTGAGACCTAAAAGATGTCTGGTGTGGGAAGAGGAGAGAGAGGGCGTTTCCAGGCCAGAAAGGCATTTTCAGACTAGAGGTAAATGGTTTGGCGGCTGGGAGGGTAAGCTGTGACTTGTGGCAAGAAAGGAGAGTAGAGAGAGAAACAGGAGCCTGATGATGAAGCCAGGGCCCGGTGTGGAGCTTACCTGGCAGGTAGTGGGGAGCCATCGAAGCTTATATGTTGGAGCAGGCTGGGATCATGCTTACTCTGCTTTGAGGCAAATAGATTGAAGAAGGCTAATGACTGGAACCATAAGGAGCAGGCAGCTAGAATGTCAGGCACAGTAGGGGTCACTGAATTCTTCAAGGAAATTTAGGTTACATTTCATGTAATATTAGCATATTAAGTAGAGTCTGATCCCTGCATATCAGTGCACGATTAGCCAAAACACTCTCTTCGGCCAGCATCTGAGAAGCAGGGGTAGGCTGGATTTTTAAGTCCCATTAATCATAGATTCTAGCTATACAGTGGGGATAGGAGCTTGTGTTTTTGTCGTCTTTCCCCCAGCCCTGCCACTGAGCAAGCTCTACACTTAACAGGGTGTTTTTTGTTTTTTTTTCCCCTCTACAAATCAAAATACTTTGAAGTCAGTGAAGCCTAAAGTTCAATTCTTTTAATCTTTATTTTTTTCTTGAAAATTTCCTCAATATATAGAAAGGCTTCTTTTGAGAAACTCTTCAGTTCTGCTTTCTGCCTCAACCATTCTTACTTATCTTAGTTCAGTGAACACTTTTGTGCTAACAGAATTAACTTCTCAAAACCAATCAAGCAGTTTCCCAAGGCTTTCCAAGTTCAATTAAGACCACAAATACATTTTTTTTCTTATGTGTAAAGCTCACAGCAAATGCTATGCTACACTTGAGTTTTAGAAATGATCTCTCAAGCAGTTCCTGTTTTTTAGAAAGTATATAGCTACTCATTTGTGTGACGTTTGACATCCAAATTTCAGTTAATAGAAAGCGGTGGTGTAAACAGTCTGTTGAATAGCCCTTTGTGTTGTATCTATTTTATATATAGATAATTAAGTCTAGTTACAGTAAGATGTTCTGATAAGTAGAATGAATCAATGCCTGCTTTTGCAAGTAAGTTTAAGAACCTTAGTATTTTTCTTCCCAATAAGATAATTTTCTATATTCAGACATCAACTTGTGCTTCCCAGCAGGAGAGAATGAGATCATTAACAATTCCTTATGGAGGTATAATAGAAATATCAGAATCTGGAAGATCTAACACAATTTAAACGTTCCTCCTTTGTTTCAAACAGCATTAGCTTTTGGAAGAGACTATAATTAGAGAACTTTCTTTAGAGTGATAAATTCCACATTCATCAGTATCTCTCCTTTATTTTGTTTGCCACTTGAAAAAAAAAAAGTTTGAGCTAGCTTTTAAACTGGCACCAGCCATCTTCAATCTTCAAACACTGTTTCCTGGAGCCTTGAGGATTCCAAGGCTGTGTTGTGAAGTTGGAGGGTCTCCTTGAGGGCCAGGTGTGCCACAGAGACCAGCCGGAGGCTCAACAGAACAAGATTTTGTTTATCCACTTTATAAATTAAACTTCTGCATAAAGTTTTGCTTGAAGGAAGTATGTCATGATTAGGGAAGTTGCTTTCAGTTTTAATGATAACTTTGCATGGGGTCTAGGAGTGGAAAATTGAGGTTGTATTTTCCCCCCACTGTACTGGTGAGGCTGAGAAGCTTCACATACACACGGATTTGAATTTTTACGCTTAAAACTGGACAAAGAATCAGGAAAAGGTCTCACTTTGTCTCAATTTTCAGACCCAAGTTTCTTCTCCAGAAAAGAAACATCAAAAATAGGGCTTTATCTCCCCTTGGAATATGCTAAGCACATTCAAACTTTTCATAAGTTTGAGCTGCTTTAGAGCATTCTTGCATTTTTCAAAAATATTTCAAAGCTGTGTAGACTGTCCTGAGACAAATACCTGTTAGTATCTGTGAAAAGGACCCTGCAGGCCCTTGAATACACCGTATCTATGCTGGGATAAACAGTGATTTCTGTTGCTTTTGATTTCCCCGTGGTGGACCTCCAGGAAGTCTAGCGTGTGAAGGGAAGACAGTTGAAAATGTAGCTGCCACTCCTGCACCCACAGCTTTTGTCCTAAACTGCTCTAAAGTGTTTGTTCTGTGACTTTTGTTTCCCTCTCTGCAGTCCTGTCACACTCATCAGTATGTGGCCTGAGAACTATGAGTGAGTATTCACACTCCATGTGCAGAAGACGGATGTTCTGCTCGGTTTTATTAGCATGGGGGTGTTTACTAAACTCTTCTTCTAAAATAACAGTTCTGCCTCCTGGGTAACAATCCTAGCGGTTTGCTTGCATGGCAAATTCATTATTTAACCAAGCTAACATTCCTCATAGAAACATCTTTCAGTATGAGGGCATAAAACCATTTCTTTGCTTTTCCCCTCACAGCCCCTCGCAGTCTCCTCAGCTGTTCCACGATGACACCCACTCACGGATAGAGCAGTACGCCACGAGGTGAGCGCTCAAGTGGGGTCCCCCACTGCAACTGCCACCCAGAATGTGTCTGTTTCTATGTCATTCACAAGCCTTGACTTGAAGAACGTGATTTTGCAGGGATCCATTCTGTTTGGAATCTGGATTCTCATCTTTCCATTTTACAATTTGCATTCTACCAAATAGCTGCGATATGTCCTAGGAAGATTAAATCTCAACAGGCTGTGATTGATTGTTGAGCCCATTGAAGCCAAGCACCCTACAAGTAGCAATGAGATAATGTAACGCAGTGATAATGAATGAAAGAATTGAAAAGTGTTCTCAAAAGATGATGCACACAGGAATTAGAATACTCATTTAAAAGTGCGCTGGTGTTTTGTGATAGGGATTTATTTTAAAGTCCCCAAACAATGCAAATTATAGTCTGGGCTTGATGAAGTGTACACATTTTCAGAGGCATGGACTAGGCATTTGCAGAGCTAGTAACTAACTAGCTGTCCTGTCGGTTCGAGCATCATCAGTAACACTTGTACTGTTTCTTGTGGGGGATTTGTGGGGAAAGGTAGACTCAGACTAATGGAAAAAAACATATCCAAAACCCCTAAACAGCATGCAGAGAACTGCGTGTAACAAAAGATTAAAAAAGAGGGGACAGAAGCGGGGGTGATAATTCTGCACCCCCTAGCCAATGATGTCCTTAAGTAAAGGGGAATCACAGAGTCCTTAAACATGGGAGGGGCTTAGTCAGATCTGTGTGAAAAGGAAAACAAAGCAGGGGATCTGAGAGGTCAGGAAGGAACCT